TGTGATACATGTATGCTCATAGCCAAAGGGCAATGTGTATATAAAGAACAGTGAAATGAAAATGCTTTGGATTGTCGCCTGCAATGCATGCACATTTTCCCCTTTTAAAGCCTAACTCCGGGCACAAGAACTTTACTATGTTGAGACCAGTAGACAAGTCTTGGCTTTAGCTGCATACCCCCATTTTTCATGCTCTCTTCAGCTTGTTAAAAACTTTTACAAGCCTGCTGGTGATGCCCCAAGCAGTAATAAAAGCAGTTACTCATTATAAGAACAAGATAAAAGAAAAAAAATGATGTTTGACATGCTGCGGAGGCTAGAGGAAGGTTTGGAGGTAAATTTTAGTAATGGACCAGGTATACAACTTAAAGTGCCATAAATTGCAGGTAGGAAATGTTCAGCTAATAAACTATTGTTCTCCAGTGCCTTTTTGAATTAACATACCAGAAGGGGAGATCATCAGTAACTACCTACATATTTCAGTGGTGGCTTCCTTTTATATAATCAATATTCTATTGATTATAAGAACAATCTATTATGAGCCTCATATGGGACCAGGTCAAGTGACCAATGCAGAGAAAATAAAACAATCTAGCAACTAAAAAAAATACAGTTGGCTTCTATTATTTTTGGTCTTTTGTATTGTTGTCGGTGGGAGCATGTTCCATGTCTTCTTTTCAAGTGTATTTTCCTAATTTTAACTCTGATCTGTTCACCTCTGCCTGGGGGTGTCTTTGTAGCATGCTATGTGTAGTCCCAACATAGCCTGGTGTAACTTGCCACTTTGCTGTAATGACCTGCAACTTTAGATATTGCATTATATAGCAACCATTCTCAAACAGGGCTCATCCGGAGGTTGTAGGAGTTCCTTGAGCTGTGGCTGATTGACCTCCAGTGGTGCCTGTATAGTTCTAGGGCCAATATCACTTGAAGCAGCCAGCACGGTGACACCAATCATCTTCCTAGCTATCTGTAAGGGGGCATTCTTCTCACTGACCAAACATGTTAGGTGCAAATTTTTTTGACCTGACTCCCAATAATTTCATAGCCGGGGTTCCCCTAGGCCTTAAAATGTTTTCAAGGGTTCCTCTGGGGTAAAAAGATTGAGAGAAGCTCATATGCTGAGGTTTATAAGTGCTGTTCTTGTGATTTGTAATCCTATGTGAGAAGCCGATGATCCCTAGTGATGGTGGGGGACTGTGCTTGTGCCACAAAAAGCTGGGTTGTGGTGCAGCATAGGTGTGATGAAAATACTGATGACATTTTAATAGGAGTGAGTTAATGTTTTCTGCATTACTCCCAGTCTGCAGTCTTCAACCATTATACAGTCCCAAAACAAACAATGTTGCCTTGGTCACACTCATACAAATGATTACCCACTGGCAATACACACACTGAAAAGAAGTGGAAAGAACAATGGACCTGCAAGGTTTTTCTTATTGATGTGGCTGGCCAATTATCATGTGAAAGAGTCGGTATAAGTGATCTGACTACAGGACAGGCAGCTTCTACATCTCAGGGGATCTCCACTGTCTCCTTGGTTTGCTGTGTCAAATTGCAAGATTGTGAATTGAAACGCCACACTCTGTTTAATAGTCCAGATACATCTTTATTCTGTAGGGTTGAGAGGAAAGCATAAAAATTACCAACGCATTTCAGGGGCTCATACAAATACCCCCTTCAGGGCAGGTTGAAGAATACTATGACTTGATGGGCCAAGTGTTTCTTATCAATTTTTAAGTTCTAGGCTTCTATGTTCTGGACTGCTTAGTTAATTATGTGTCGGATATGATAAATAACTATGCAGTCTAGCTGATAGAAGCTTAGAACTTCAAATCCCACGAAGTTAGCTTATTCTTCAATCTACCATGCTGAAGGGGGTATTTGTATGAGCTTTCAAAACGTTTTGGCTATTATGTTTTTCCCTCAACCTTACATTGAAAAAAAGTTAAATCTGAACTATCAAATGCAGTGTGGTGCTTCAGTTCACAATCTTGAAACTACCAATACATAGGTGTACCACTGGCAAGTGAGCAATGCACTGGCATCCCTGTTCCCTTTACTGAAAAAAGTAGGTAGAGTACCTCTTCTTGGGATACACACGACCTCAGTTGGCACGGTTGCTAGAGAGTTGAAGGGGGAGAAATCACAGCCTGCCCTCCTTGTAGGGCTGCAACAACTAATCGACTAAATCGATTATAATCGATTATGGGAAAAGTTGTCAACTTTGTCAATCATTGATTAATCGGCATCCGATTAGTTGGCCCTGTTCACGGCTCCACACACGCTGCTTGCCGCACCTCCTCCCCACCTCGAGCTTGCCACTGCCAGACCCGCCTGCCCTCATCCACGCTCCACACGCCGCACCTCCTCCCCGCCTCACGCTCTCTGCCCGCCCACATCCACAATCGGCACAGGGACGCGGGGAGAAGAAGTAAGGAGGAGCAGGTGTGGGGGGACTGTTCACGGCTCCACACATGCTGCGCGCCACACTTCCTCCCCACCTCACGCTCGCTGCTGCCAGACCCGCCCGGCCGCATCCACGCTCCACACGCAGCACCTCCTCCCCGCCTCACGCGTAATGCAGAATACCGCCAGCTATAATGTACTATTGCTGGGATTTGTTGTATTCCTCTATAGCTGGTGGTATTCTGCATTGTGCTGTGTAATGTACTATTGCTGGGTTTTGTATTCCTCTATAGCCAGTGCCATTCTTCATCATTGTTGTATAATTTTACACTTTTTATTTCACTATATTGCACACCACACTTTTCTTTTTTTCTTTTTAACTTCCACCGCTCCAAGCTTGCTCCTGTGATGGACTACAATCTCAATACAAACTAGTAGTCCCATCACTAGAGCCATTTTTTAAAATGTATTTTATTTTATATCCGATTAATCGAACTTAATAATCGACTAACTAATTGATTTTGAAAATAATCGTTAGCTGCAGCTCCACCCCCTTGTCCTCCAGCAACACCAGATATCCTTTCTCTTGTGCACACTGTGGCAGTAGTGACATTGACACCACTACTCCAGTTAACTGATGGGCGTGTTTTCAAAGTTGCAGGTAGGAGATTAAGTAAGCTGATTTCTAAAATTCAGAGGCACCCTATGTCTGATCTTAAAGAGGAACCTCACCCTTCTCTTTAAAATGACAACAAAGTCCCCTTTAAACATGTTTAGTAATGACAATCTATAAACAGATACTACTAGATAATTGCTGGCTTTTTATTTTCTGCATACCTTATTTGTATCTTCCCCAGTCTTCTCATGGTGTCCATTTTAACGAAGGGCAGATGAATCCATCTCCCCTTTACTTCCTGGAACTCTGGCACTTGTGACTAGGACAAACAATAATTGTTACTTCTATAACTAATGAATGTAAGATGATTTCCTATCGGCATGCAGAGCTGTATGCTGATGTGATTTTTAGTCAAAGGGGGTAAAGGTTCACTGTAATGAAAAGCTTCCTGTGCATATTTTGTCACCGTAGCTGACTACAGAGTTGATGGTCAAATCTTACAGATATGTCCTACTTCTGTGATAATGATAATATTTTTCTTACATCATGAGCTAAAGTCATCTAGTACTGTATGCTGTAAAATATTTGTGTTCTGGTGTTTTCTAATCAATATTGTGCATAGTTCTTTTTAATGTTTAGTGTAATACAGTTTTTATAATCAATGTTGATCTCTTATCTTAGTACGTTGGGGGTTTATGTGCCTGTTAGTAAAGCATTGTTGCTCAGTAGGGTCACTAGGAGTGGCTGTTAGATGATTACAAGAGATCGTGTTTAGTAGGTCAGTAACCTCGGTAAGCTAAACTCGCTGTATGGCTTTGGAAGCAGATGGTGTTCTCACAACCCCCAGATTTGCTCTCATTCCTGGCTTTCATTTATATTTCATTTGTATGAAATATTGCTGTGGTACCTGTTGCATTTCTTATTATTACTTTGTTTTTATTGTTGATATTACAAGGAAATAAACTGGGAGAAATCTTTAGATACAGTTTTTTTTCTTCTTATTTCTTTGTGATAGTGGGGATTCACAGCCTGTTTGACTAAAATGTGCTGTGTATTCTATACATACATACAGACTTTTTTTTAAAGTGTAAATCCCAGCTAGACTGATAACTGTGCTTTGACTTAATGTCGGCAGGGTCTATCACCCGCTAGCTTGTTTAACATTGGAGCCCTCGTTAAAAATTCCCCTCAGTTTTGGCTCCGTCACTTATGCTCTTGCGGCTGTAACTTGTCTTTCTCAGCTTCATGCCAACCAATATTGCCTTATGCTGCTTGCTGGATTCTCTATAGCAAAGATGGGAACTTAAAGGGGATATCATGGAATCTGAAATGTTCTTATATTCCATATCTGCAGGATCATATAATTTTACATATGGTTTCAGATTTTTACATACTTTCAGTTAGGATATTTTATATTCAGATTTGCAGATTCTGCCTCTTTTGGGTGTCTGTATGTCAGAGAAGTGGAAAGTAGAAATCACCAGCACTCAATAAATATCGTTGATGTCCATTTAATCGGACGATTCTCTGTATGTCAGAGAAGTTCTCTTGATACTGAGATAAAACTAATTATGCAATAATAAACCTAGAGACTGTTTTATTGTCAGACCTTGTGGAGATGCCAATTAGCTTTGCCGTAAAGCATAATCCCTGTGCTATGAAATGCCACTTTTATACTTGATTTAGGGCTGGACAAATCTCAGGAGCCGGGTAGCCAATGTGCCTTTAAAATTGCATCTGGCGCCTAACTTTTGAGGGTTTTTTTCTAGTTGTCAGTGGAGCTGGTTCTTGGACTGAACAGACTTACTCTTGCATTGCATATGAAATTGTACACCACTTAGGTGAAATATGGTGGTAGATTTAGAGAAAATATGTTCTTTTTCTACTTAGGCACACATTACTTCTAATTTTTTTTATTTTGAGAATCATAACTAATGATCCGGATCTCCCTTTTTTTTCCCCTTCTTTCTTGCAGGTACTGTAATAGGATATAATATCCAAGCATATGTATCGAGCTTGGGCCCACTGCACTAATCCTACTAGAGTGACTCTGCCAGGGACAGAGAAGCTGGATAAAGCCAAAGAAGAGACAAGGTGACCCTGAGCCAGGATGGATGAAGAACGATCCGACTGGCTTGTACTTTCTTTGCACCAATTGATATCATGGGGAGCGTCAGCTGCTATGATCTTTGGGGGAATCGTGCCATACATACCCCAGTACAGAGACATTAGAAGAACCCAAAATGCAGAGGGCTTCTCAGTTTATGTATGTCTTATGCTACTAGTGGCCAATATACTGCGAATATTGTTTTGGTAAGTAACCACGCTTTTGCATGTCTTGCATTATAATATACAGTAAAATGCAGCATTTCCTGAAAGTACACTAAAGAGGCTCTACTTTACTCGGGTTATACACTGCAACCCAACAACCCAAAGTAATACAGTTTATCAGTCAAATAGAAGATTTGGTAGGTTCCCATATGTCCTTGGTGCCTGTTTGTTTTCGGCTATCAGTAGATCGCTTAGTGCCTAATATGAAAAAAAAAAAGAGGATGGGAGTTGTGGAAGAGCACTTAAACCAGTTCATATACAATTTGCAATGATTATCCTAAGAATGCATAATTATGTGATTATGAGTGTGTAGAAAACTCATAACCATAATAACCAACTTCCTAATTTCTTTTTGCCCTTAAAACAAAAAAAAACAAGCCCACTAGTCTGCATCACAGCCATAGAGAAGCCAAATAGTTACTATGGGCAACAAGTACAGTTTCTTTTTTTACTTGAGTAATGAATACCACTAATTAAGTAATAATACTGTAAGCACCTGCAAAATTGCAGAAATTTGCATATGCCATCAAAACATAAAAAGTTAAAACTAAAAATGACATGTACTAACTAGTTGTGCTGCATTGGTGTCTTAAAGGACAACTATCAATATTCATCTTTTTCAAATTCTCATTTTTTTCAATAATTTATATGCTTTCTAGTTTTACACTGCCATCCCTGTAAAGTAGGCTATACACTGTGAATTTGGGCCAGTTCTTGATGAATTGGGCAAAATACACGCAGTGGGTGGCCTTGTTGGTATCCTTCTGCCCAGCATCCCTGGATCAGCTGATCGAAGGGCAGGTTGGAAAAGTTTTGGGTGAATCGGCTGCAACCTATTTTTGGGTATTCTGCCAGAAAGTTAATTCCAAAATCTGCCAGAGTATACCCAGCTTTACAATGAATGATTGTTGTGGCAGGGGAAAGAGCTACCCCAAAAGTCGGTGATAGCAGAGGTGCCCAGAAACAAGACCATGAGCATCTAAGTGGTTCTTCAATTAGTAGGTATTTATTGGATGATAAATCGACATCATACATACCAGGAGACTCTGCCACATCTCAGCAAGTGTCTCTCCACACCCTCCTGAGGAATTGGCCAGCTAGAGCCACAAAACATATTGAGATGGTGTTTTTTTATCTCGATTTATTATCCAATAAATACCAACTAATTGAAGAACCACTTAGATGCTTATGGTCTTGTTTCTGGGCGCCTCTGCTATTGCTGACTTTTAGGGCATCTTTTCCCGCCTGCCACAACAAAAACTTCGGGACTCCCCAGCTACCAAGCCTGGAACCCGACACACACCCTGGCAATCATAACTGAGATCTGACCGGGGTCAGGTACATTCCCCGCACACTTTCTTTGCCTGGTTGTCTGATATGCCTAATGGGACGTCCCGCAACCACACCTTTTGTAAATCTCTGTTTTTTCCTATTATCAACTACCAAAATGGAATTTCACCATACCATATAAACTACTACACTAAATCCGTTCTCTCCTGGGACTTCTGCCTCTCCAAGCTTACAATGAATGAATTAATATTATTTATTCTATATGATATATTCTAGGAAACGTTCCGGAAACAAACGGCTGTCTGGAAATTGGTGTAATTTTTAGAGTGCGTTTTAACTGATTCTAGAAGCAATGAGCCAGCCAACAACACATTTGGCATTGAACTTTCAAACCACGGAAAAGGGTCAAATTGACCCAGCTGCTTTAATGTGCTAAATAACATTTATTTTGAGTTTGTATACCTTTTGCCAAGTATCCTTTTGGCTGAAGGCGATTTGGCATAGTGAGATGAGCACTGCTTGGTATATGTGGATTATAAGTAATTTGAGATGTACTGTGATGGATTTGATGAGCATGTGCTGCCACAATGTCACACAAACCCTTCCCTTAACACTTCAACCCCTGATGAAGCCAGGCATAACATAAAGAAAGGAAGGGACCTATATAGTCAGAATAGAAAGCATAGAGCATTTTGGCTTAATAGGCATAAAACCAGTAAGGTAAAGAGATTGAACTGACAAATTTGAGAGTCAGAAAAAGTGGGGTAATTTTATATATAGGTATCCCTAGAAATAGGAGGTAGACATAGTGCAGCATTCCCTGCAAGAAATAGTTATTAGACAGGGGTGTGGACATTTTTAAAAATAAACTATATGTCCAAGGCAAAAAGTGGGGATCCAAGCTACTTGTCCCTCATGATGATCTACTTGTCGTGATGCGTAGATTGAGCATTGTGCTCCATCTCCTGTGCAGCTGAGACAGGAGGCGTTCTGAGTACAGTGCTCCTGTCTCCCTGAACACATAGAGGAGATCAGAGAATGGACGTTCTCTGGTCTGCTCCCCGCACTCCATCCAGAAGTCGTTGCCGTGGTCCTGGGTACCCCAGAAGGGGGGTGGGAGAATGTGTGTGCCACGGGAGACGGACTCTCGGGCTGCTACAAGTGATTTGTCATTACCTTGCATCACTTAAAATACTCAAGACTCAAAGTCCATAGGAAAGAGGATTAAAACACAGCAGTCTTTAAAAACCTAATTGAAGTCAAAGAAATATACATGCAATCAGAATGACATAACAACCTCAATGTTTATAATGTAACCTCAATTTTTCTGTTATTGTCTTTGCTTGAGCTATGGGACTGGAGCACGTTTTGGGACTCCCCATTACCGTGTTATACAGCACAAGTGTGCAATGTCCTGGAGCTTGGTCACTTTTGATTGTACTGCATATATAAGACATGGGACATAAGGGGGAATTTGTCAAAACTGAAGCAGGCACAATCTGTAGCAGTTGCCAATAGTAACCAATCAGTTTCTCTCTTCAGTTTGTACAGTTAAGCTTTGAAAATGAAAGAGATGTTGATTGGTTTCCATGGGCAGCTGCTCCAGATTTTGTCTTCTCCAGTTTTCCCTCACTGCGATAACTGAGATTACGTATCTACTTCCACTTTACAGGAAGTTTTTTTTGTGTAGTAATTTGTCCTGTAGTATGTCTTGGCATGCTAATTTATATTGTCAACGTTCTTATCTCAGGTTTGGACGCCATTTTGAATCCCCACTACTATGGCAGAGTATCATTATGATTGTCACCATGCTGCTGATGCTGAAACTGTGCACAGAAGTACGTGTTGCAAGTGAGCTGAACACAAAGCGACGCGCATTTTCAGGTTAGTGATGTGACCATTTACAGGTTAGTTATCGTTAAAACTTCTTATGTGTCTTCTGAAGTTGTTGCCTACTGTACATTTCATATATGGGTGAACTCTAGTTTATTATCATTCTAATTTTCTCATTAATTAAAAGGGGTGCCAACTTTCTGTTAACATCCTAGGGAAAGGACCATAGTATACCAAAAGCTGGCATTCTGTAGTCTTTTATTTAGTTAGGGAAGTTGATTACCTTTTATATAAAGGTAAAAGTATTACTCTTATCAATTCTAATGAAATGGCTTTGGTTCTTTTAAAAGGTCCATCTAGATTATAAAATGTGATTGGTTATAATTATATCATCCTGGCGCCAATAGATCAAGTTGTGTGTCAGGAAACTATAAATATACAGTGACTGAGCACAGATGAGTACTGGCATTTTAACTATTCACAACAATTCACATAAAGCTGCAAACTACAAAGGGGTGTCTGTAATCATGGGCATTATGATACTTATGTATGGAATAACTAATACAACAACCATCTCATTCGTAATTAATATACACCAGCTGCCCCAAAAAAGTGACCACTTGTATTTAGCTATTCTATTGAATAATTAGTCTAGGTTCAGCAATGTTGTGCCCAAAACATGAGGTCAGCTGCCTACCTGAATCTTCTTAATGACCAGGTTTTTCCATCAATGTGTTTTTTTTTTTTTCTTCCCTGATGCCACCGGCATATTCCAAGATGACTCAGGATTCATCGGGCTCAAATTGTGAAAGGGTGGTTCAGGGAGCATGAGATATAATTTTCACACATGCATTGGCCACCACAGAGTCCAGACATCGACCCCCATTGAGAATCTTTGGGATGTGCTGGAGAAGACTTTACTCAGTATTTGTGAAATATACCAATGCTACTTACTTTTTTTTTATTATTTACTGACCAACAACATACTTGTGGCTGGTTTCACCACAATTGTTAGCCTGGGAGCGGTGCCGCAGGTTTTGCCAGTGTGCACAGCAGGATCAAGATTCTAGTTGTAATTTATTCAGTACACTTTTTTGGCGGATCAGGGAAGCGGGTACATGTTAACATAGGGTTCTGAAACAGCAACTCTGTTTGCTTCTGTACCACACATGCATACACATGCCACACATACATACAGCGTATATTTTGAAGGCTTCCCCGTCAGTAATTGAGTGCAGATCTCCTGTGGCTGTGTGGCAAGGTTACTTAAGCTGGCCATACACTGGTAAATTTTAGCACAAACATTAATAGGAAACATTTTGTCGGAACATTTGGTAATGTCATCAGAGACTTGTAGAATATCGTTCGAAATGTGTTTTGATTTTAACATTAAGTTTTGGAAACGAAAGGCATTTCTTCAATGAAAACCACATTTGCGGTATACTGAGCTTTGGGTGACAGGAGGACGCAGGTTTGTGTCCTCCCGTTACCCTTAGGAGAACTATGGGGAAAAGCCCTAACCCCATAGTTTGTTCCAAATATACAAGTTTAAAATATGCAAAATCTTAAGGCAACTCAGTCTACAATGTCATACATTTTAAGGGGGACACCACAAAGGATTTGCAAAAAAGTGGGTTTTCCCCTTCACATCGAAGTGCTCCCTTCACATCAGAATTGCGGTTTACATCAAGAAACCCCACTTTCATATCAGCGTCACCCCCCCC